CTCAGTTTAACAGCGCTAAGAGTATTTCTATTTCATCTTAATAATAATGATCTTATCTATTACAAAATATGCAAACATTTTGGCCAAGACTGAATTTCATCTTGTGGCTTACAAGCAGCTACCATGTTTTACTGGCGTTAGAAAATAACGTCATTTGAAACTTCTGAGTATTTTAATAAATGAAATACAAAGGGTCAAAGGTTATCTTTTTATTATTGCATTACTTGCTATGAATGCAGATGTATATTACACAACTAGACTTCTTGTACCGTTTTCACAAATGCGCTCATTATTTTTTCCCTAATTATTAATACATTTAAATAAAATAAAAGGTAAAGCCTATATAAGACATACTTCGTCCTTTCAGCAACTGTATTTGCAGGACATTGTTTCATTAATAATAAATAAGACCATTTATAAAGTAGCCATAATATCCGCCATATTAATGTTTATTGAGGAACCTCCTGAACTGAATAATTAATTCTAAAATACAATAATAACAGCAACTTTTATATTAGGCACGTTCTTAGTATCGTGTCATCATCAAGTAAAAGTTAGATTAGGAAAAACAACATGCCTACTGTAAAAGTAGGCCTACTGTTATTGTATTTTTGACACAGTTATCTGCAATTTTAGTGGTTTTAAAGATAGAGACATGAATTTGATTGGATGAAAGATTTTTGTCGCGAAAAACTTATTTTTTTTTTTTTCGTTTAACGAAGGAAGTTTCGCTTATTTTTGGATATTCGCACAAATCTGCACAAGGGTTATCTGTTTTAACTGTTTCTAATTCTAAACGGATAGACTAGTGAGGATCGCTCACTGCCAACAATTAGACTGCTCTAATCGGATAGTGGAATTTGACCTTTATCCTTATAACGCATCCATGATCCCAAAGTGAAGAGCGCGATCTTTCCTTTTTCTTAGGCAATGGGACGCTAGCTATGAGCCCTCGGATCCACAGTCCAACACGCTAAGCATTGGGCCACAACCTGGCCCAAGTAATGAAGTGTCAGTAATATATTTTTTTTCTTGCAATAATTCGCTTCTGGGAACAAAAACTCGATTTTCTATTCCAAGTGCATCTCTCGCCCATCTTCGTAGAAGTCTTGCCTGCCTTTTATAAATATATGATTAAAGCACCTAAATGAATATAATAGTACTGTCTGTTGTCTGTTGCATGTCCATGTAACTACTTCGCAGGATGTGTTTGGATTTTCACCCAAATTGGTCTGGAGGCTCACTAGGTTTTTATGGGTGCTTTTGCGTTTTTTACTACTACTTCTCTCCCTGTTGATGGACCTTCACCAAATGTGGCATGATGATTTGTTGCGGTTTCACGTTTGGTGTGTTTTGCAGTTTTTATGAGAGTTTTTGCGTTTTTATACAATTACATATAAAGGAAGCAACATCCCATGTCCTAAGATAACCTTTCATTAATTGTGAATTTACGTAGCTTCCGTCCAGGGGACGAGTACTCCAACCAGTATGTAATATTTCGTCAAAGTGTAGCTACTAAGCTAGGCCTAATTAGAAGGAATTCGCCCCAAACATTTTTAATATTTTTCAGTTTAATATAATTTTTGTTATCTGTTTCAGTGAGTTAACAGGTCAATGTTACTATATCAAGCATTTGTTCTGCTGATTTTGGCGTTTTCATCAGCAAACAGTCACGATGAAGAGCCGCACCGTGTGAGAAAAGGTAATTAGAATTTTCAACGTAAATTTTAGAAAATCTGTTTGATACAGAATGTTCATTATTTCTTTATAATTCCTACATATGTATCGCCTATACTTTAGGTTTAATATTACATTGGACAGCTCACCGAAAGTTTAAATCTAAAATATTATGCAATAACTTTCATTTGTATTCATTGTTTGTATGTTTTTTACCCTAATATAAGTTAGAAAAGCACGCGTGTATGGTATTCTCGGGTGAAAATTATTTTGTAGGAGCATTAAACAGGTGTACTGTTTGTTTGTTGTTATGAATTTCGCGCAAAGCTACACGAGGGCCATCTGCGCTAGCCGTCCCTAATTTAGTAGTGAAGGCAGCTAGTCTTGGGCTACTCTTATACCAACGAATAGTGGGATTGACCGTCACATTATAAGGCCCCCCACTGTTGAAAGGGCGAACATGTTTGGTGTGACGGGGATTCGAACCCACGACCCGCAGATTGCGAGTCGAGCACCCTAACCACCTGGCCATGCTGGGCCCATATTTTTATGATGCTTGTTCAAAAATGAGTTGTATTTTTCATATAAGAACTGTCTTTTTGAGGTTCACACAGCTACAACAAAATTAGATTGTTACACACATATATATTATTCTAGATAATATGTTAGAATCACATAGAAAAATGAAATGCAGAAATCGACATAATTAGTACGCGTTCTCTGTCGTTAGCGCCATTTTTTTATATTTGTTTTCCCAAAATAAGAAAAAAAATAGCCAATGAGCATATATTATTTACATTATTTCATAATACTTTCCAGGTCGTAGACATGGTCTAAGGGACAATCATTATCCATATCGTGACAGTTTTGTACTGGAAATTGATGAAAGTGGGTACACCTTCTATCCCAGAAGGGGGAGACCGAGAGGTCCGTGGCATTACAGTATTCCAAGGGGACATCGAAAATATCCTCCAAGCTGGTTTTCAACACCAGCTAATGGATGGAGTCCACACGGCCATAGATGTCATAACGATCATGTTGGCAGTATAATGTTGGACGAAGCTCTCGACTGGGTTCAACACATTATGTCACGTGGTCAGAAGCTCCCTATACCCGTGACCTGTTCAACGATTTTTAACCCCTCGGCTTCTTCCGACGACAAATTTCAGTTCTGTAGGACTCCTGAAAGTAAAAAGGGTCACTGCCGATATATTCAACATTGTTTACGGCGAGAAATGTATAAAGATTATCAAACTTTCTATAACAATTTATGTATCATTAAAGGTCGTTATGTTGGAGTTTGTTGCCCAGATTCCCACTTTGAAGAGTCCACAACTACAATCCAGTCTTCAACCTCACCACCACCTACCACCCCTTCAACGACGCCCTCATCAACTTCACTACCACCTACCACCCCTTCAACGACACCCTCATCAACTTCACCACCACCTACCACCCCTTCAACGACGCCCTCATCAACTTCACCACCACCTACCACCCCTTCAACGACGCCCACACCAACCACAGAAACATCAAGTGAAAGTCCATTCGACAAAGGTATGTTTTTGTTTATTGTTTTGTTTGTTTCGTTTACTTCATTACAAACATAATAACAAAACGTATATTATTTTAACAGGTACCTCATGAGCCAATGGGGGATATTTTTATTGACAAAACTACGCAATCTGGTTTTTCTTAATTTGAGCTGAAATTTTTTGGACATTTTTATTGGCTAAAAAGAAGGCATTTCTCGCACCCCTTTAGCGTTGGAGCTGCTAAAAGTTATTTGAAGTGGTAAGGTCACTGAAATCCGTCACCTTATCACGAGCTTAACGGTCAAGCACAAAAAGCATGGAAGTCTCCAAATGATACACAGAGGTATTCAGGAACCCTTTAGAACCACCTTGGTAGATATTATGCAGCAAGCCGAGTACAATATTATGCCTGTAACTACTTTCAAAGTGTTCCTGTCTGCTCATCCTACTGCTGACTATCGTGATGCTTCGACCTTCCCTACCGAATCGCAGTTGAAATCTTTCGTATCTCATTTGAAAGCTAAACAACAAAAAATTATAGCAGAAGCATAAAAGGTTGGCAATTGCTTAATTAATGATGCTGAGAATGTGGCTTTATTGATATGTAATTAATTTACTCCCAGTGGGTAGACCTTAGTACTAGCTAGTATGGAGACTTGAGGATGCTCTAGTTCACTTAGAAATTTATCAATTATCAAACGAAAACTTGTCTCGAAAAGATGCGTCAAAACCACCCTCCTTGAGTATTTTCGAGTTGAACTTACTTTTAGTATACAACAAATTATAGTGTAAAGACACCCCTTGGCTCCTGAGAGACGTGTTAATATGTTGTTGAACACTATCTATTTATTTGGAATGTTTCTACTGTAGGGTTTCTGTTTAATTTTCAGATACTGGCGTACACAACAATGACATTGTTCAGTTGTAGTGAATTATCTAGTGCTTTATCTTAGTGTTGCATTTGAATACCAATAACATTGTAGTGAGATAATCTAGTGATTATTTTAGTGTTACTCTAGACTACCAGAGACGTTGTAGTGAGATAATCTAGTGATTATTCTAGTGTTACTCTGGACTACCAGAGACGTTGTAGTGAGATAATCTAGTGATTATTCTAGTGTTACTCTGGACTACCAGAGACATTGTAGTGAGATAATCTAATGATTATTTTAGTGTTACTCTGGACTACCAGAGACGTTGTAGTGAGATAATCTAATGATTATTTTAGTGTTACTCTAGACTATCAGAGACGTTGTAGTGAGATAATCTAGTGATTATTCTAGTGTTACTCTGGACTACCAGAGACATTGTAGTGAGATAATCTATATATTGATCTTTCCAATGTTATTTATTTCCTATGTCATCAGAAAAGGAGCTAAAGTTGTTACAGTAATCCTTCTATCGCATCCACCGATATGCGTATTTTAGTCTGTTAGTGTTTTTATGAATTCACTGACATTTAAAAATCTACAATATGTGAACAATTACAAAGCCAGTAGAGTTGTTAATTATTACATTATTAGCCACGGCATAGCGGCTCATAGAATGGCTTTGAGATTTTTTGTTTTTCAAGTACAAACTTTTAGCTCATAGCTCCGTCATCTCTTGACCGATTTAAGATCTAATTAGAGTTTTGGACTCAGGAGGTCAAACCCTTTCGATTGATATACTTTACCACGCCAAAGGTCTCGTAGATTAATTTACCCTAATCTTGCCTAAATGAATTTCAAATGTAGGATAGGCTGGTAGAGATCCTGATGAGTACTAAAATCGAATCGAAGGGCCCGGCATGGCCAGGTGGGTAGGACGCTCGACTCGCAATCTGCGGGTCGCGGGTTCGCGCCCCCGTCCCACCAAACATTCTCGCCCTTTTAGCCGTGGGGGCGTTATAATGTGACGGTCAATCCCACTATTCGTTGGTAAAAGAGTAGCCCAAGAGTTGGCGGTGGGTGGTGATGACTAGCTGCCTTTCCTCTAGTCTTACACTTCTAAATTAGGGATGGCTAGCACAGATGGCCCTCGTGTAGCTTTGCGCGAAATTCAAACAAACCAAACAAATCATATTACTAACACATCATAATGTAAACCGACTGACCACTAACTATAACCCTCCTCTGGTAAAAATATTATCCTTAATATTATTACTACTTTAGTAAAAACTGCCCCGTTTACATAATATGGTAAAATATGAACTGATCATTAAGTGTAATATTAAATTAGTCAAACTCATCAGTAATATTAAATTAGTCAAACTCATCTGTAATATTAAACACCACTTAGTACAGACACATTGTAATTTTAACGATGTTATAGTCTAAATTATTGTAATTTTAACGATGTTATAGTCTAACTCATTGTAATTATAACGATGTTATAGTCTAATTCATTGTAATTTTAATGATGTTATAGTCTAACTCATTGTAATTTTAACGATGTTATAGTCTAAATTATTCAGTAACAATAGATCACAACAGACAGTATGTGTCTGCACTCTTATCACACAGCTATTATTCAAAATGATTGGTAATATTAACCCCAGTAAGTCTAACCTGGTCAGTATTAATTACATTACTATATTGCGAATGTACCCTAGTCTGAAACATCGCTATAATCTATATTTATCTTTAATCCTTACGCCACTGTAGTTTATACTCATACTTAATCTTAACACTACTACAGTCTGTGTTTATTCTTATTCCTAACAACACTTGAATATTACATACTTAATCCTAAAACTGTTACAGTTTCTATTTATTCTTATTCTTAACACTATTACAGTTTATATTCATTCTTCTTCCTAACAATACTACAGTCTAAAAGCATTAGGAAAAAGATCTATCGATAAATAGAAAGCTGTGTAGTACTGGCTACTGAACTTGAAAAAAGGAGCCAAATAAGACAGGGATGGAAGTGGACATATCACTTGATCCGGCTGATGATCACATAGCAGACTAAGCCGTCTCGACTTTACATGGAGAATAAAATCCGTATATTACTGGCTTCCCCACTTTGTCTATCAAAAGTTTGGTATTTAAATAGAATCTCAGCTTTCATCATTATATCTTTCCTTTAGTTAACTTTAGAATACTACTTTTATTACTATTTTATAGATATTTTGCATAGAATAATAATAATAAAATAGGTAGTCAAAGCTCATGACTGTTTTTCCCTATCTAATTAGAATACAATTATAATTAGTGCTAGAACTAACTAGGCCCTAGGCCTGTTGAAGAAAGATGATAATGAACGAAAATAAGAAATCTCGGTTTTGGTTATTCGCTGATTTTTGACTTTGGGACGCTTTGGATATCTCAGAACGGCATGTACACTGGAGATAGAGCGACCAGGTAGCTCTTCATATCTAGCCTCTGATGACCTGTATGTGTAGTGATTTTTCTTTTATTATTTCACTTCATACATAATATAGGGGTGTGCTCCATAAAGAAACCGATTGTACAGTGTACAAAGCATTGAATATTCTACATGTTACAGTCATCTAATGTCAATCTATTATTGGCTGGTAATTCCTGTTATTAAGCTTTTTAAAGGAACATCAGATTTCTGTAAGAAAACTAACTTTAAGGGGTAATAACATCGTTTACACTAGAATTAATTTTTATTTTTAATTTTTCATAGAATAATAATAAAATATCTAGTCAAAAACAAAATCATCAGTATAAATATTACAACCGCAGCCAACATCGTCTGCGATCATAGCGTTCTTGTTGTTCATCCCGTTTAGTTTCCAACATTATTATTGTCTCAACTGATGAACAATCCTAGCATCATCACACTAACTATCATTATATTGCCTTCTAGCCTGACCATGAAGTTTTGTAAGCTCCTCACTCAGTCTACTAACGCCTTTTGATGATTTTAATCGCCTCCAGGAACACTGAAAAACGTTTTAAAACTGAGAATTTGCTAAAGACAATCGCTTTTAGGAAATGTATTTATACAGATATAAAATGGTGAAAAAAAAAGCATAAATTTCATATAAAAAGGAACTTAACAAATACAAACTATTTAGGTTGTCTGAAAATATCATGCAATCGTACTGATTATGTCTGTATTTTGAACGTGGCGTGCAATATAGAAAACTTGACTCTCGTGAGGAACATATCACATAAGCAGGTAGTCCAAATGGATTATATATGTCATAACTGAGTTTGTTTTTTTAAATTTCCAGTGAGAAGATTTTTTGTTTGTTTAGTTGTTTGCTGTTAAGCACAAAGCTACATAATGGGCTATCTGTGCTGTACCAACCAAGGGTGTAGAAACCCAGTTTTAACGTTATAAGCCTTAAGGCTTACAGCTGAGTCAGGGGAGCCTGTGAGAAGAAATTGCAACTGTACATGTAATTTTATTTATTAAATCTACGACAGCGCTTGAAGTCCAAGCTAGAGTTTATGTTTTCCTTAAGATATATTCTGTTATTTCTTTATTGTTACTTTCGTTAACAGTAATGATTAGAAAGTTTGATGCATCTAATTTTATTACTTTTATTATAACAAGTATAGTTTTGTATTGTTGGCTTAAATATCTATTTAAGACTAGCCCGAACTTCCAAACTGGCTGAACCTTGTGAGATATTATTGGGTTTACAGCCGAAAATATTGTTGACAGCAAGGGTGCTCCAGTGGTGAAATAATGCATTCTAATCTTTATAAGTAAGGATGTAGGAAGAGTACATTAACTAACAATACTATATGTAAATTTGTACGAAGTTCTCTTAGGGTTATTTTCTGATATTAATTTTAACTTCTGATCAGAGAAAATTACCTACCTAAAGAGAAACTAACAAATGAACCTGGTAATTAGCATACATGCTACTTTAACTTAACGTATTTCAGTGAGAGAAATGAGCTTATGTAACATTGTTTGGGGGTAAAATTACATTTTGAATACCTCATACTGAGTAACATGTAAACACGTGAAATGTGTTAAAAGGCAGAATGATGTAATATTGTGTAAATACACGTGATCGTACTTTACTTTTCCAGCTTTAATTTTTCTTGTTTAATATGTAATTATGCTTATATATATTTAGAGAATTCGCTTAAATTACTACAGCTTTATGTTACAAAGGGTGGACTTGATAACATTTTTAGCGCTGAGTTGTCGGATGTATGAAAATTCTTAAAGTTTAAAAAAAAAGCCATGAGTAGCATTAGTTTCTGTTTACTGAATAACAAGGAAGAAACTGACTAAGAGATGACTCTTAAATGTCAATTGTATATGAATAAACCTTTGTCAGCTGCTGGAGATCGATTAAATAGGTATGCTGGTAATTTCCAGCCAACAAGTATAGTGTAAGACAAGGATATCTTATCTTATTTTGATTTCTTTTTTTAGCACATAATTTTTATTTTACAAGGAGATTTGCTATGCCGATCTTGTGTCGTTTGAAAGATCTGAATTAGTTTGGGATCTTCATGCATACATACTCTCTATCTAAGGATATCAGGAATATTAATTTTGCTCTTCCAAAGTCTCTCGCTATGTTTGTTTACTTAATTAATTACTTTGTGCTTTAGGCCAGTTTAAAGCTGTTGTTTTGTTGTTTATACTATTTTGTGTAGTTTAATGTAGAGGGGCTAGTAGATATAGAACAAAGAGAGATATTAACTCACATTCAGAACGTTCGAACGTTGTTCTTCTTCTTTATTTCAATCCTAGTAAAAACTATATTATATAGCATTTTTTTTTGTCTTTGATCTGGTTTATAACATAACGTTTTAAATACAAATAAAAAAAATCCACTACATAAGTAATCCCGCCTGCGTTGCGGTTCATTAAACTGTGATAAACACCAAATCTACGACAGAACAACAGTACACTTAACGAGTCTAACATAGTGAAATTTCTGTATTATGTAACTCAACTTTTTATAAGATATAGTCTCCAAAAATTATACTTTCACTGCAAGAATTATACAGTGATGCTTTCACTTTGTTCTGTCTAATTTCTGTACTCTATATTATACAACATTAGTTTGTTTCACACATTATAAAGTACGAACCAACAAAGCATTAGAAAACATTGGTATTCTTGTAAATGTTTTCTACTTTATCTTTTATGAAACTTTATCCTCTTGGTACTGTTTATTTTTCCACTTTTATTTTTTGGTATAATTATCTGAACTTTTTCAACGTTACAATTTATTAACATTGTTGTAAAAGTGTCATTTTTCCGTCTAATACACCTGTATCTGGAATATTTTTTTTCTTTTCTTTTTTTTAGGTACTATTGTAAGACATTCAAGTCTAGAAAATTGACGTCTATCTACGGTAAATTGTGATTTCAACAAAAAGGTTTTTCTTCCACAGTATTAAACGAAAATCAGCTGTTATTATTGTCTGAATGAACTGAAATACCATTCCTTCATATTCAGATGGTCATGATCTCAACTGAAATACCATTCCTCCATACTCAGATGGTCATGATCCCAACTGAAATACCATTGCTCTGGAAACAACAGAGATTATCCATTCTTCAGAGAGGTCAAAGTTCTGCACTCTTTTTTTCACTTCTACCTATCAAATTATCTGAAATGTCTCATCCTAACAGAAGTCCTATCGTATCAACATACCCCCTAAAAGCAGTTGAACCATATATAATCCAGAATAATTTAAACTATTTATAACTGATTCCACCACAAGTGACATACTGACTTGACCGTTTATCCATCCAATGTGAGCATTAACAAACATTTAATATACTCAGGAGATCATGACCATCTGAATATGAAGGAATGGAATTTCAGTTGAGATCATGACCATCTGAGTATGGAGGAATGGTATTTCAGTTGAGATCATGACCATCTGAATATGAAGGAATGGAATTTCAGTTGAGATCATGACCATCTGAATATGAAGGAATGGTGGTTCAATCAAGTACGACTTGCAGTTTTTGTTATTCGTTGTTGTAATAAATAGGTCACCTGATTTGCCCGTGCCAATATATTGGAAAAAGTGTTTGCTTTGTCAGTTATTTCAAATAAAACACAGAATTAATTGGAAGTGTTTGGTTAGATATAAAAAGATATGCGGAGACACCTTTTCATGTTACTTGGTTATACACCGTTATCATCAGCCTGTTTGTTAGATAAACAGAGTGAAAACAGTGTTTTGAAAATGTTAAGTATAGTGTAGAGAGTAATGTTGGTTCAAACACTAAACTTTGTGACTCTCGTTCCCTTAATATCACTACATTGGTTCTCGAAATACGCTACATATGCACCTATCGACCTTTATTTAGATATGTATATGTATAATGAATGTAAAACGTTTTATTAGATTTTAACATAAATAAAACTTACAATGATATAATGTATAGTCTGAGTAGTATCATTTTGCTAGTTAAATCAAAATGAATCATGAATCATGTACAAATGAATGATTGTTTACACACCTATAATTTAACCACGTACAACTAATAATGGTTGGAGACGGCTTGAATGAGTAATGAAGAAAAACTTTAATATAAGTTTAACATAACATCAAATGTACAACATGTCGAAACGTTGTACATTTGCTGTTATGTTAAACTTATATTAAAGTTTTTCTTCATTAC